GTCAAAAGTCAAATAAAAACTTTATAGATAACATCTAGACTACAATGATTTTATTTTACCATCAATATCAATAATCGTTGCTTGTCTGTTTTCAGATAAAAGCAATTAGAGCAAATTATATGTTTTGTTTTGAATTTTTGTGTATATCCCTGCAGTTAAAATCATCATTGTTGAAAAAATATTGATATGTGAATGTGTCATGTTATGAATCTGTCTAAATATTATTCTATTCTAATTTCTGAATTTTTGCTTTAGGTAACCATTTATAATGGTTTAACAAGAAAAAAATGAAATTCCTACCTCTTGATTGCTACGAGTTCTCCAGACTCGTTGCTTCTCCCCATCAGCACACTGCCGTAGGTGCCATCACCCAGCTGCTTCAGGGTGGTGTAGCGATTCATCTTCTCTTAAAATTGTTTCATCAGCGTCTCAGTTCTCTTTATGTGTTAGGTGAGCAGCACTGATGTAATAGTTCAAATTACTTTCCTGTTTTCTTCATTTCACCTAATGCTTGGTCTGACAGACAAATGATTTCACTTCTTCTATTCCACAATGAAAAATCTTCAACCAGGGAAAATGTTCCACATCCACTGAGACAGGAGTTTAAAGGGCTTCTTGCAGGTTCTTGTCCACGAGTATAGGAGGCGTATCTTGGTGATGCAGTTAAGTTTGTAGTCAAGAAGTGTCTGAAAATGAAAAAAAGAAAAAAAATCCATTAGCAACATGTCAATTCTCAATGGGACATTATTTATAGACTCCTAATCACCTTAAACAATCTCATAAATCTGAATTATAAGAGAGACGGGATACAGATGACGCTCTGATCACTTCTTGTTTTTTGCCTGGATGAGAAGGATCAGGCGTGCAGCACTGTGGACGAGTAGGAAGCTGTGACATGAACACCCCGGGGTGATGACACAGCCAGCCCTGGAGGGATTAGTCCATGGGAGATGTAAATAGGTTGTTACATCACCAACATGCTTACTGGCATCCACAGCAACCCCCAAAGCTCACTGCCTGGCAGGAGGATTTGATCGACGCCACAGGGTATAGTGATCACAATGTTTGGTTGTTATGTTGAGGAAAGTCCCCCACCCGAAAGTTTCCTACTGAATTACAGGGTCAACAACTACAGAGCCCTTGCAATAAACTTCATTTTCACTCTAAGCTTGCAACATAGTGCTAGAAATTGATGTTATTACAAAATAGTTGCTTTTATTTAAATAAAAAAACAGACTGTTGCTGAAATAATACGGAGATGCTTCAATTTACAATTGTTATCAATAACATTTACATATTGTTTTGACTTAGATTCGTAGGCTTCAGAACAAAAGCAAACCACAATAAATGTTGATGAAAGCCGTAGTTTTCAAGTAGCTGTTGCGCAGAATATTGGGCATGTTTTACTTTCTGCTTTTTATAATATCGGACTTTTTACTCTGGTTGGTAGCCTGCAAAATAGGAGCAAATACACTTCATCCGATCTTAATTTGAAAACATTGATGGCAGCCCCGAGCTTAGCTGTTAGTGTTTAGTCGCAACACAAGATACTCCAGAGCAGCTAAATGTGTTCTTACTGGTCCAAACTTCAAGCTTTTTTCCAAACTTTTTTTTTTTAAGTGTTTAAGTTTGCAGAACAGATTCATATGTGAATTGATTTTTTTCAGGATATAACTCAAACAAAAATTTAATTTGTATTCTGGCTAAAATAATCAGGCATGCTGCAAAATAAGTTAACAGTTACTTATTGTTGTTGTTGTTTTTCCTAACAGCTACAAAGAATACTATACAAAAAATTCCAAAGTACTTATGGTCAGTCTTTCAAGGAAATAAATAAAATGTTTCTTAACATGCTGTTCCATTAAAAATAAACATCTAGCTATATTAGTTTATATGTTTATCATATAACACAGGCATCTAAGGGTCAAGAAATTACAAAAAAAAAAAATCTATAGTTTTTATTGTATTTGTTTTTGTGGGAGAATCACTGTCTAATATACATTATAGATGTTTCACAAAATGTGACTAAAATAAACTCAATGAATAGTAGCCTTGTGTTGCTTAGCCAATATAAATTAACTTCAGAGAAATAAGCTACGGACAAAGGCTATGTAAAATCGATTTAATTACAAAGCTCCCTACTACACTCATCAGGAATTAAATTTATCTTTCTTCAAGTCATTATTGCAGGTACTCTCTCTCGAAAACAAATACCAGCTCTATCCAGGTCGCATTGAGACAATGGGCAACTAAAGCAGAATAAAGTCCAGAGGTCTGCTGGCCTGCAATCTGCTGGGCAGGGATTAAAAGGAATTAAGATGTACCTGGACCACATGACATTAGGAGGCTAATCAAGGTCAGTTCCACTCAGATACCAACCTGATCGCGTAAAACTACTTCATGTGATAATGCTCACTGAACTAAGTGATATTAACGTTATTGATCAGAATTTATCCAAATTCAGTAGCCATGGCTTCCTGAAAAACCTACACGTTGAAACAAATAAACTGACCTTCTTTATACAGCTTTGTCAGACAACCATACATAATTCCCAGATGGTCTTTAATGTTTAAATTAGTTTCTGGCATGTCCGTTTCTAACAGCTCACTTTCTCCGTTGCTTCTTATCAGTAAGCAGTAACTCCCTCTAGTTTTTTTTTTTTTTGCTTTGTTTTTTTCCTCTGTGCGTTTTTAAACTCACCAGTCGCTCGTTTCCGCAGTCGTTGTCTGGCTCCGCTGATAGCTCCTGATAAACTGGACGAAGTACCTGTATCACAGCTCACACGATAAACTGCGTGCCTGCATGCGTCCGCCCGACTCCTTCCCATGGAAACGTACACACAAACCCGACCCCTTTGTTCGGCTCCCAGGTGACAAGCAGCGCAATGCTTTGTGGGGAATGTTGTCCTTCAAGGACTAGCCCTAACCCTTTTGGAAATGCGTGACTGATAAATTCACATTCATGTTGACATTTTGTATGTATTTTTTAAATTATTATTATCATTATTATTTAACCTTACAAATATCTATTTTAAGCAAATATGTCGACAGTTGTGCTGGAGAGAGGCACCGGCCCCCTTCACGACCCTTCAACGACATGTATGTTAGATAATGTCAAAAGTTAAAACCATTAACTAGCTTTAGCCCATTCCTATTTGTAGTTTCAGTTTCTTAAAACACTGCTTCGAGAACGGACAGAAAGTGAATAGTTTTCCTACCACTAAATACTCGCCTCAGAGTCAGGAAAAATTGACACATAAAGAGATTTGCATCATATGAAAGCAGTTTAGATTCTGCACCAGTAGATGGCGCCGCATGATTTATTTTTTGGTTTACATGGGAACCAACAACACTATGAACTTATATATACATAAAACTATATGAGGGATGAAGTTGTTTTTATATTTTCAGAGCTTCATACCAAACTGTTTATGGGGAGTGAGAGACTATTATGGAGAGTGCAGAATGTCAAATGACAATACTTAACAAATGCAATAATTATTTAAGTGTGCCATTAATTTATTAAAACTCTTCACTGAGCGTAGATCTGTGTCTTTTCATCCGTTCTTAAATAATATAAGATTATTCACAAATTGTTTATTTAAAAATGAACAATAAAGTTTTGTGAAACACATTTTTTTTATTATCTTTGATTTGGTATTATTTTTGCAAATATATGTCAGCAGATCTTAATTTAATGTTCAACATGGATTTCATTTAAATGTAAATTATGAACTTCTTGTCGATTTGATGTTTCTGAACTAAATAAACTTTATTTACTGGTCAGAATCCAAATCTTTACCAACTTCAACTGTGGTCTCGATAGAAACCACTAGTCCGATCCATTTTTCTGTTGAAAAATCATCTACTTTTTCAACCATATGTATCATCTTTCAAGCCCCTTACTTAACTATGCGCCATTTATTTTATAAGAACTTGTAAAATTACAAACTTACAAAAAGAATTTTCTCTTTTGTGTTTTGAAAATAAATCAACTTAAAATAGCAGTAAATCTAAACTGATCATGTGCAGTGGTTGCATAAAATAACACCGTGATCAAATTGTGTTTTAACATGCGAGACAACAGCTCAGTGTGAGAACTCTCTGTCAGCTGTTGAGAGTTATCCTGAATTATGTCACAGAGATTCACATACATGGAGGGGACAAATCATAGCGGTCTCTCAGTCCATTCAGTACAGAATATAAGCAAGCAAAGAACTTATTTATTAGATAATTATGCCATCATAAGCCACACACAGTTTTTCTGTGTGTAACTAGCGTCAAATATTTTCTACATTATGCTAAAACAATAACTATGGTTGGATTAAATTCTCTTTCATGCTCAATCTTTAGTGTAACACAGGTAAGGACTCCCCCTTGTGGATTTAAATAATCCCTGCACTCTTTAGAGAGCCTCAGATTTATTGCTGTTGTGTTTCTCAGAGAGAGAGAGAGAAAAAAAAAAACATTTAAAACCCATTATTTTAGAGCAGTAAATTATCATGTAATAGGACCATTGCATTATTTGCAGGACAGCAGCTCTCAGGGTCGGGACACCCTGGTCAAGCGTCTGATGACTGCTCTGAAAGATTTTCTCGAGTTTGCAAGATAACCTGGCCAGAAGAAATAATGTGTTTGATGATGAAATTAGGTTGGGTGTGTCATTCTATATCAAATATGTGGCTGTCATAATCTGATCCATGTGATCAGATTAATGCTTTATGCACAGTCATCTAACCGATCCACACATCAGCATCTGCTGACTCAGGACAACATGAAGTTCTGAGGCAATTTCTTCACCTCCAGTAGTTTTTATCGATGTCTGTGGTTCTCATTGATGATTCTAGCACACACAAAGAACAGGTTAAGCTCAGACATACCAGGACGGGCGGGGAAGAGAGTGTAACAAGTGGAAATGGACTTAAGAGGATTATTGTGGTCGTTAGTTCCCTGTTGGTCTCATTAAGGATGACCAGCAATGCTGGTGTGAGATAGCACAAATCGTCAGGAACAATCGATTCACAACCAAAGTGTAGTTTTGTTTTTTCTTTTTTCTTTTTGACACTGCAATGAAATAATTTTTTTGCAACATCTCACGATGACCTGCTGTGGTTGTTACCTACTGGGAGCACATGGTGATCCGTTTGCAGGCGTACGTTTGGACCAAAGAACAGTTTCCTGACCAGGACTTCGGCAGGCGGCTTCTGAGGGACATGAGGACGAGACCTGCTGGGATTGGCAATGTCCATGCTGACTGGATGGGTTCGCTTCCCTCCATACTCAGTGCCATGCCTCTCAAGTATCTTGCTGTGCCAGGTGAGCAGAAAGAATGAGGGGTGAACAGGAGAGAAGAGATGGGAAATTTGACAGTAGGGTGGAAAGGAATGTAATTATGGCTTTGCGTATTTTGAATGAATGATGCGAAGAAGAGTTGAGCTCTTTGTCCATTCAGGGTAGGCAGTTGTGGACCAATTATCCAGAAAAAAAAAAACTCTCCAAGTCAAGTATTCCCCCCTCCCCCCAGAGTTTTATTGTCTTCGTCTTGTTTTTATCTGCTTCGTCTGCTCCTCAGTTTCCCTCCTCAGTTTCCATACAGATGCAATTTTTCCTCTCCTCGTCATGCACATTTCATTAGCAGCAACATGTTTCATACTTTGTTCCAGGTTCTCATGACTCCTTCACCTTCTGGGTGGATGTGCATGCCCCTGTGGGCCCTGATCAGAAGTCTTATGTAAAGTACCTTGCCACCATGTTCAGCGTGCTAGCCAAGAAAGTCATGGTGAAGTGGTCAATGACACAGGTGCAAATCTCCCAATGCAGAGAAGTCACGATTTTGAAGATTTGTTCTTCCATGTACGGATTTTGCAGCCTCTTCTAGAAATGCTCTGTGATCTCTATCCCCAGAACCTGACATTCAGGGAGCAATTAGATGCAGGAATTCGTTACTTCGATCTCAGGGTGTCTTCTAAACCAGGTGAGCCTGGAAATGAGATCTACTTCATCCATGGCCTCTTTGGACACAAGGTGAGTAAAGAAAAAACAAACAAACACACAAACACACAATCGCGTCGAGTCACACTACTTAATTTATTATTTCAAATATGCTTCTGTTGAAAACAATAGATACATGTTTCACCATTTTTCAGCTCATTGTTGCAGTTTGTATTTTTTGATTGTGTTTCTTTTCCTGCAAGAGTAATGGTTTTCTTCCAGTATTGTGTTCCACTAAGTAGTGCATGGAGTAGTGCACTGATGATCAACATAGATTTTTACTTGTAAACGTCTCTCCAGTGAAAAAGGAATGATAATAATAATTGAGCAGCATTTAAGTGGACAGAATGTCTTCTGACCAGTATCTTTGCAGTTCACGTTGTCTGTGTGTAATTGTTTTCTGTGAGCAAACTTTAATATGTGTTTGTTTTCCATGTAACTTTGCCGTTGCTGTTGTCTGTCAATAAGTTTATTTGTATAACACAGTTTGGCAAGAAGGCAGTTCAAAGCGCTTTAAATCATAAAAACACAAAAATAAAAAGTCATTAAAATTGCATACAGTCATCATTTGAGAAATCAGAGACACAAATTACATTTTGATGAGAGGCATCATCAAAATGATCAACACACATCAAATGTGTTGTTTAATGTTAACCAGAGTTAAAGAAACTATGAGTTTCAGCTTTTTAATTTTTTTTTTATTTTCTGGAATTTGTTCAATATATGTGGTGGTTCTGGTTCTGGGGATGCAGAGGAGACCAGAACTGGAACACCTGATAGTTCTGGAAGGCTGATAAAACGACAGCAGATCTTTAATGTACTGTGGTGCTAAGCCATGCAATGATTTATAAGCTAAGAACAGCATTTTAAAGTCTGTTTTCTGAGCTTGACTTGGTCTCCCTTGTAAAATATATTTCTACAAAAGGTATTATTTATTTCTGAATTGCTTAGGAAACTGTTAAATTTCAGATTTTAGCTTTACTTTTTAATGTAATGCATGGCACTTTTGGAGGCTTAAAACTGTGACTAAACAAGAAGCAGCATCTCTTCATGCCTGCATTAGCAACAGACCTTTTGTTTCATCCATCGACTAATCACTGGCTTGCCTTCAATCTTTCTGTAAAGGTGAGAGACGGCCTGTTGGAAATTAACTCTTTCTTGAGCAGACACAAGAAAGAGGTAAGAATCATTCTTCATAGTACTATTTTTTTTTTAGAGCACAAATAAATGTTTAGATGAATTGTTGATTCCTTTCTGGATTAAGGTTGTGCTTTTGGACTTCAATCATTACTACGCGATGGATGAAGATCACCATTTGTACCTCATCCATATGCTACAGGAAGTGTTTGGCAGCAAGCTTTGCAGAGACTGTGTAGTGGAGAACATCACTCTGAACTACCTGTGGGAGAAGAAATATCAAGTGAGATCCAAACACTGCAGCAGAACTTTTCTTCTGGTTGTTTTGTTTTTTTGGAGTGTTTTTTCCCCCCTCCAGTCAATTGCTACAAAAGCTTTGTTCCTTGTAAAGCAGTAAGTGCATATAAAGTGCATTTTCTACATCTATAAGAGAACCGACTTGTGAGTGTGCGTGTGGTGGACAGATCAATGAGTGTCAGGTAATCCCAGCTGTCTTTGACATTCCTAAGAAGGAATCAGAGTTGGGTGACATCCCATTAACACTTGTTCTACCTTGCAACTGTGCTTTCCCTTTTCTCCAACTTTAACTTTAAGCGTAGTCGTTTCTGTTTGACTTCTCTACTGATTTAGATAATCTGCAAAATCTTTTCACCAAACTCTTGTAGACAAACTTTATCTTTTTCTTTTATTACGCACACTGTTCTTTTTGGTTTGTGTTTTTTTTCCCCTCATTATATATGACACATTTATACGCATGTAAATAGATACATTTCTGAGAAACTCCTCATTTTTGTGGCTGTAACTACTGTGCGTGTCCAGAGCGTGTCCAGATGAAAGTAGCCTACTATCATTACTTGTCCTGTGACCCTAATCTTTTGCTGACTTAGCCTACTTGGCGGAGGTACCAGAGATAGTGCAGGAGACAAGAAAAGGAGAGGATGAGTAAATGTAGAGCAGTGCTGTAAGTACCTGAAGGGGGCAGCATTTCTCTTTGTTATGTTTGTCATATTCAGGACACTTTTACCTTTCTAAAAGTGTCCTCTCAATTTAATTTTGTATTTTTTCATAACTACTTCAGACGACCTTCTCATGATTAAGTGCTAAGAAAAATGTACATAAGTAAGAAATGCTAGCGATGCTTAAACAATAGCAGTTGAGTTCATTCTTTAAGACACACAAAGGAAAGAAGGGATTGGATTCACTTATATCACATGAGAATTGTAAACTAAGGTACAAATATCTTATTAATTATTTCGCCTCTTTACAGGTCATTGTGTTCTACCATCACCCTTCAGCACAAGGTGTCCCTGTGATGTGGCCTGGCAATAAAATCCCTGCTCCTTGGGCAAACACCACTGAGCCCAACAAGCTTATACAGGTAAGACAACAACAGTATTTCTTTTGTTGATTCTTCGCCCTCACATTAGGATAACATCACTATGCACACACAGCAGGTACAAAAAAAACAAAAAAAAAATGTTTTGTAAAATAAAACCTAAAGAGTCAATGGAAAATCGCTCATACAGGAGAATAAGATCCATGAACTCACAAACAAGTCTGCCAGGGAAAATGGTTAAATGAGAGTAAAGGTGATGTTTAGAAATGAGAAGTCAAAGTCCAGGCCTAATCTAAAGAGATGATGTACTTGAACCTGAGATGAGAGGCACTGATAATATTGGGTTGTCCACAGTTAATGAGCAATCACGAAACTTTTCTGGAATTAAATCTACCTTCCAAGTGTCAAATCTAAGAATGAGATCATCTTTTGCCACTCTCTGGGTTTACATGACAATCAGAACAATTCATTCTGTCTTTCCTACAATGTTTTCTTCCCCTCCATGTCTCAAACACATTGTTTCTCTGCTTACCTAAAATAAGCCTGTTAATGTTTGCAGCTCATCCTTGCATAACCGTGCAAACAAAATTTGTGTGCTTATTTTCTTTTTCAATAAGTTTTATTTTTCCCTTTTATTCAACTTTCTCTTAGTTTCTGGAAACCACATTGAAAGAAAGAAACAAACAGGGATCCTTCCATGTCACCCAGGCTATCCTCACTCCTACAGCCAACACTATAGCCAAAGGTTTGGTGTGGGGGCTGCGTGAATACCTGGTAGAAAGGTAAGTACCAAACTACATAAATTAGTTCTTTTTTTGTTTTTTGTTGTTTTTTAAATCTTCTACATCATGCTATCTGCACACATTGTCATCTTGCCTCACATGATTGGTTTATTTGTCTTTGCATTGCTCATGATCTCAATGCAAGGTGCAGATGTTCTCATTTGCACGTCATGCCTCAGACATATCTCAGTTTTTGTCCTGACAAACCTTATATGAAGGCGAAATCCTGACACTGAAAAAATATTCTTCATACCTTCAGATAAGAAGAGTATAGGACCAGCATATTATGTTGCAGCATATCATTCCGAAAGAACTGGACAGAGATGGGAGGTGGTCTAATTTTGCACTTCTCGGGAAGTACAATTGCATACCACAAGCAGATAAACACATTAGCTTCCAGGTTTTGTTCTGTTAAGCTCTGACAGGGGGGGGAGGGCATATATTTGGCTGTTTAAAGTGATACAGCCACATTAGGTCTGTCTCTGACTGTGTTATGCCTGGTAGGAATGAGAAAACAAGGAATGCAGAGGAGTGACTCCAAGGCAAGAGTGTAGGAGTTGCAGCTGGCTTATTTTCTTTGGATAAGTTTTCTCCCACATTATCATATATTTCAGAACACCAACAGTAGGCTAAAGAAAAAAAGTTAGCAGGCCAATACAAAAACCTGACCAAATTCCAGTTTGACAGTATATATTGTGACTGTTTCCGCAAGTATAACCAACCAGAATGAAGAAATTAACTTTTAATTTCCTTAAAAGGAAATCAAAGATTTATCCAAAGCTATCTTCTGTTCCACACATGCTTCAAAAGAAGCATGTTTGGAAAAGAAAATAGTTTTAACTTTGTTGTCTCAAGCAGTCTGTCTACTTTCATCAATCTAGAAACCTGCCAACCATAATGTCTTGGGTTCAGAGTCAACGGCCAGGAGTGGACGGAGTCAACATCATCACTTCGGACTTTGTGGAGCTCACTGACTTTGCCAACATCGTGATTAAACTCAACAACCTACTGCTCTCTGAGTCGGAACGCAAACCCAGATGACACATTCCCCATTTTTGACTAGCGCTCAGATGGTTTGGTTTTATGTGTTTATCCTAGTTAGGATAAAATGGCTTCAGTAATGCACATGACATTATTGACTTCAAGGAGGTTTGGTAGCTGGTACGCAGGCAGTTTTTCTGCTGCCTGGAAAGCTTCAGTTTCTAACTTAACGACTCAAGTTAAATGCCAGAGTTTGCAGAAATTTGTAAGCCTTTAAATATTCCTGGAACTCTTCGATTTTACTTGCAGCCAATTCTTTCAGCCTAAATTTTACAATACAGCCAAGAGGAGTTTGGGAAAATTGGGGTGAGGTTAGGGAGAATGAAGAGTGGTTTGTATTCACTTTCACACAGGGATACCTCACATCACTGCTATGAAATGCAACTGTTATACAGACCCATTTCACAAATGCTCCACCTGTTACCATGGTTATAATAATCCTAGACATGCTGTTAATTTTTTACATCTAGATGTGTTTTTTTTTTTGTTTATTTGTTTTTTTATCGAAATGGTGATTAATACACAAACACTGAATTTCTATTTATGAACAAAGACAGTAATAAGAAAATACCCAACAGCCTCCATCAAGTCTTTCAAAGATTGGACTGAGTATTAAGTTAAATTGCCTCTACCGGCCCAGAGGTCTCACTGTTCATTCAGATGCAGATTTGCAAACTCAAATTTTGTTATTTATTTACTTTTTTAGACTTTCTACTGACGGGCTTTCCCAGCAAGCCATTCTTTTTACACCTTTTTTTTTTTTTGTTTTTATGAATGTCAACATGTAACATGTTAAGTCAAGACTATTGAGTCTGGTATGCATTTCCAAAATTTCTCTGAAAACTATTTGGTCTGACTTTAGCGTCTTTGGCATTTATCATGTGGGACGTTCACTATATACATATATATATATATATATATATATATATATGTTCTCAGAGGCTATTAACACCTTTATTTATTTTGAAATGAACAAATGCAAAGCTGAGATGGAAAAGCTGGGGTTTTCCATCTCAAGTCATCCCTTTTATACGATTTGGGAGGAAAATTTGGAACTAGTTACATCTGATCAAATGCAGTCAGTAGTCAGTAGTGACTTCCTGTGTAAAAGCAGTAAACATCAGCAGTTTGCCAGCCTCTGTCTGAAAGATGAAGGAAAGACAGTGATCACCTTGGGTAAGCAATTCTTGACACCCATCAGGCTGGGTAGAGTTATAAGGCAACATATATATATATATATATATATATATATATATATATATATATATATATGTATATATATATATATATATATATAAAAAAAAAAAAATATATATATATATATATATATATATATATATATATATATATATATATATATATACATATATATATATATATATATATATATATATATATGTATATATATATATATATACATATATATATATATATATATATATATATATATATATATATATATATATATTATATATATATATATATATATTATATATATATATATATATTATATATATATGTATATATATATATATATTTTTTTTTATTATACAGTTACAATGTTCAAACTGTTTGTAAATTGCCTTATAACTCTACCCAGCCTGATGGGTGTCAAGAATTGCTTACCCAAGGTGATCACTGTCTTTCCTTCATCTTTCAGACAGAGGCTGGCAAACTGCTGATGTTTACTGCTTTTACACAGGAAGTCACTACTGACTACTGACTGCATTTGATCAGATGTAACTAGTTCCAAATTTTCCTCCCAAATCGTATAAAAGGGATGACTTGAGATGGAAAACCCCAGCTTTTCCATCTCAGCTTTGCATTTGTTCATTTCAAAATAAATAAAGGTGTTAATAGCCTCTGAGAACATATTTAAAATAATAAAACCCGGTAGAAACCACATTGTTTTTTTTTTTTTTTTTTTTTTGGTGGGTGGAAGGAAATGAGACCTAAATTCCTACCATTGATAAATGGGGTGTGCTCTCTTTTTACAGTTACTGCATGTAGCAGTAAAAGGTAATGAAAAACAAATGCATTTTCACTTTCCCCCAGTGAAGTTGAGGGAAAAGCATGAGCTGCTTTTTTGTTTGTTTGTTTGTTTACTCTTTATTTCTAGGTTTTGGGCAGGGAGTCCACTGGGCCAGCTGTGTCTCAACATGAATGGCATTTAACAAGCGCTATAGACAGTAACACCTCTGGGGCGTAAATTCTGCAAGGCTATATGTGGAAGTTTTGCCACAATCCCTGTAAAGCATGTGCACCCATAAAAATAAACAGCTACACTTTTTATGTTACAGTTTGTTGGGTTTGATGCAAAAATAGGAAAAGAAAAGCTCCATTTAGAGAAATGTTGGAAAAGTCTCATCAGAACCTGAATGTGTAGCCATTAAACTATCCACAAGACAATTAATGAGTACTGACTGCAGAAATGTTTTCTGTGCATTTTGAATGTGTTCTGCATCAACATGTGTTCCTGTGTGTTTTGTGCCTTGCGGGTTTAGTGATCACTATGTAGCTCATAGACAGCAATGTTCTGACTATCTGCTCTTTTATTGTCAAGAAAGTAAAAAAAACAACAACAACAACAACAAAAAAACAGGGTAATGGGGACCAAGAGAATAAGTGAGTTGCCAATATGTATTGAATGACTGTGTGACAGACTAAGAAGAATTCAGTAAGAACAAACCTAAATATCTAGAAAAAAACAAAAACAAAAACTTTTTCCTCAGCATCAGTAGTATGTAAAAGTTAACTGTGATGTTTTGTTTCTGTATGCTTGACCACATCTCTTCACACCCTGTGTGAGTTGTTTTTTGCGAAACTGCCTGCATCTGTCCAGGCCACGTTGTTGACACTGTTGAGTGTGGTCACCGAGCCCTATGAGGTCCTCTCTCACTCTGAGACACAAGCAGAGCCACTTTAATTGTGGAGTAATTACACATACCATGGCAGGCCAGTGGGAGAACCGAGAGCAGCAGCAAAGCCGAACTGAAAGCATTCCTCTGTTGTTTGGATTGGTCCTCTCTCTTTCTCCTTGTGTCCCACTTTTCTGTTTTCCAGCTGGCTTCCAGGGCTTCAAAGGAGACAATTACAGCTAATCCGAGATGTTTGTGTTGCAATGAATAACGAGACTGCTTTTACTTCGTTACTCGTCCAAATTCTTTTTTTTTTTTTTTTTTTTCCGATCAAAGTTTAACGTTCTGGATTCCCAATGGATCCGGAATGTCAGTCTCACCCCAGCTCCCCCAGCCCATTTCCAAACAGTCCAGCACAAACATCTCGCTCCGCATAAATCCTCGGCAGACGTCCTCATGACCAAACATGGTTGCAGTTTTATTAGCAGGACTATTGTCACGGTTGGTTTCACGGTTTGTACGTGTCGAGAGACGGAAACTGTGGCGAGAAGAGAACATCCACACAACGTATCCCTGTTGGGGCTAATGGTTTAACACTAAACAGCTGAGTAAACTCGGTTTCAATCCATTTAACGTCTGCCATTTCCGTGATGTAATATGCCGAAGTTAACTGGGTCACCAGCATCCGTGGCACACAAAATTGTCAGTATTCCCTGACAGACTGCAGTGAGTAGGATATTTATACAGCTGTAAAAACAGCTGGAGGGGCATCTCATGATTATCTTTCCTCCAAATGAATTAAAGGTGAGCAAAGACAGAGTAGGGCTGAATAAATCAATTTTGATGTAAACTAAACTTACTATATTTGGGACTTACAGTTATTGAGTTTTCCTAAGCTATTTACTCAGACTTTACATTGTAAAAGCATGCTGAATGAGCGTGTGAACGAATGTGTCCATCCCAACAGAGCATTTTACAAAATTAGTTCCTGTGTAATAAAATGAAATGTCAAGCTATGAAAATAGTCTGGAAACAAATGAGCTCATATCCAAGTTTGTATAGAAGGACATTGGTTTGTTATTTGTTTTAGTTCCATGTTTGTTTGTCTATTTTTCTTTGTGTTTTTTTTTTGTTTGTTTGTTTGTTTCATATCATGATTGAATCTAATGTGTAACTCTTTCAGATTTTCCTGAATGAAATGGACACCTATTACTGAATCTCTTCCTCTGACATAGGGAAGAAGGATGAGATTTCCTGTTCAACCTTTGGAGAACACATGGGAAAAGTAGAATTCTTTTAGGAATGCAATCAGTCACCATAGAGCTCATTTAAACACACAGGCCTCAGGATGATGTAACTGGGAAATGCTTGCTGGCACTTACTTCTTACCCAGGATGATGAGGGAGTGTAATGGGTTCTGGCATGACAGTTGGCAAGAGAGGATGTTAAAAGAAACCAGGAGAAAATATATCTAGTGATAATGGTGAGGCAACAGTTATTAGCTTCGTTAGCACTCCAATCATCTGTAGCATCAAACCATGGCACACCATGTTGAACCCATGTGAAATTTTATAAATATTGAAAGCGCGGAGCATGCTGATTATAATACTCCCTGATTGTGGGAGACCACAATCAGGCAAAATCTTTCAGAGATTTCCTTCTGGCCATGTATTTCGCTCATGCATCATGAAATGCATTGGAGAAAGTGGAGAACAAATTATTCTTCCTTCTAACTATAAGCTCACTTACTTTATTTGTCTGCTTTCTTGCACTGAAATTTTCACAGTGCCACTTTTGTTTTACCACACACACACCCACACACACACCCCCACACACACACACACACACACACACACACACACACACCCACACACACACCCACGCACACACACACCCACACACACACACACACACACACCACACACACACACAACACACACACACAAAACACCATTTTATAGCCCAACAGTTGATTTGTGAGCATGGCAAAAACCAAACTCCTCACGCCTTAAAAGTTGTTCTCGATTACAAGTCTAAATAAATCCGATTTCATTTGTTCTTTAAAGTTAATTTGTGCTTAGCAAACGCGTTTAAGTGTTATTTTAGCTTTCTATAAATTCATGTTGTTGTGCACCCTCCTATTTCCTGTAGGATTCAAATGCAACCATTATATAAGAGGCAGATACTGGCTCCCGTATAGCAGATTCCTGTGTGCATGACACATATTTTCCCAGCAAAAATGCCAAAAAAATAAAAATAAAAAAAAGTTAAAATATTTCTAATATATGATCTGGTCATAATAACTTCTTAAACTAAGTTAACAACTGGTCAACTTTCACCTTCCTCCGCCTCTGATGCAAAACCAGCAGGACGCTGGGATTTTATTTTTAAAATAATGGTTTAGACCTTCTTCAGCAAACACGCAATTAGCAAATTAAGGCTTCCCCTTGTTTTCTTAATTATTTTTTTTAACAGCAAACTCCTGACAGGCCACTGGAACACAATGCCAGGACTTCAGTTGTACTCTCAGTTTGTGTGCCAGAGGAGGAAAAGGAAAAACGAATGTTTTTCTGATATCCAACTCTT